ATAAACCTTAAAACTGCTTGTTCGCGAAGAATTTGGCTGAACGTATCATAGTATGACAGTATGTCAACAGCCTAATTATTTTGTTGTTGTGAGAAGGTTTGCAAGTTCTAAGTCAAAATCAGTCAATAAAATCGGCACCTTTCCTCGAAATTGACAGCCTTCTAGCAAATCCAGTAGGTCCCGCACCTATAAAAAGCCTGGCCATATTAACATTTACGAAACGTTTACTATAAAGAACAGTTTGAAGTTTTACCTTTCTGAAAAGCGTGTGTACTCTTCTTGTTCTGGCAAATCAGCACAATCGCCGTCCAGGAAGTCTTTCTTCCTCTTCCTTTCATGGCTCAGTCAGAGTGTTCACGATCCAACTGAATCAGCCAGCAGCTAAATAGAGTGCTTCAATCAGCTTTTTGAGATGTGATATGAATAAATTAGGTAATATATTTTTTGCGATTACAATAAATTCAAATAACACAACGAGACGGCAATATTCAGATCGACCCGATGGTGTTGTGTTTTTGACAATAGGTGGAAAAAGTTTCCGATCGAAGCCAGCCTGGTTCCTAGGGACGACCAAAGTAAGGCTATAAATATAAATAGGGGGTAATTCAAGAGAATGTCGAATTTCAACATGTTGAACAGTTTAAGTTTAACTCATTGTGAATTAATCGTGCTTTGGAAACAGAAAACTAGCATTCGTATGACTTTTTATTGCTATGACCCTGGTCCAAGAGGTTTTCTTTCTTTTATGGACGTTCGTGCCCATTGTTTCTGCGAACGAATTTCCCGTCTCCACGTCACGCCACCTTAAAGGATGAAATATTTTTAAAACAATTATTCCACGAACGCACGTTTGATATGAGATGGTAGATAGCCAACGAGGCGCGTAGCACTGAGTTGTCTGTTATCATCTCATATCCAACAAGCGCGAGTGGAATAATTTTTCTATTAAAAACGCCCCCAAAATATAGAAAACTAGACTAGACGTGCTCTGATTGGTCAAAAATCCATGTTTTATGAGAGTGCAAAACATAGAAAAAGCGTGTTTTATTGTTTTTCGCCACATTACCTATAGTCATCATTTTTGTTGGAGATGGCGAAAAACATTTTCTTTGAAGAAATTTGTGATGGAGTTCTCTGCAAAGCAGCAGAAAGTTTTGAAGACGAGGTTGAGGAGGGGGTCTACCTGAATTTAAGTGAAGTTTTGGGAAGTTTAAAGAGAGATTAAAAGGAAAAGAAAAGTTTTGGAACACCACCAGGCAGTTGAACGCCCCCCGAAAGGGCACCGCAGGTTGGTGGACAGGTGTACATCTACCAATTTTTAACTTCAAATTCTAATTTTAAAACAACATCAAATCTTCAAAATTTCCTATTTCCATAAATATTACTATAATCCTTTGAGAAAAACTATTTATCCCCAAATATACCCAAAACTCACCAAAAAATTTACAAAACAGCCCAAAACGTAGATATGTGGGACAAGCAGAGAGATTTTTGACTGCTTAAAACGTGAACAAGATATTTTCGTTAAAACCATAATACGGCCTTCATGTTAACCCCCGCCTTAAGAAAAAGATTTTAAGGTAATTAATTCAAGCTGTAGCTACTGTCAAGCTAACAGATGTGAAGAAAAACTGGGTAGGAGTGTGCGGCCCGCTCCCCAAAACCCTTACCCTATTTATGACCAAAATCTGCGATTTTCCCCACCCTATTTATGACCTGACCAAAAATTCGATATCCTATTTATGGCCGTTGCGGCCTGCACTGTTGCTCTAAACATAATTTATGAAGGCTCTTGTTGACGGTCTTATCGTTAATGATGAAAAAGTAGTTTCTTCTAAAAAACATCAAGACCAGAGTGCAAAACCATACCCTATTTCTGACCAAAATGGCCAAAATGGAGACCCTATTTATGACCAACTGAAAGCGGCTGAAAAACCATACCCTTTCGGGCCGCACATGCCTACTAAGTATAGCCCATATAAGGGAGTACCCCCCGGACACTCCGGACATTTGAGAACAGTCGAGAAATGTAAAAGAGCACGAGCCGGAGGCGAGTGTGTTTTCTACATTTCCCTCGTGTTATTAAATGCCCGTCGTGTTTTATCACAGTGTAATACACAGATTAGGCTTCTTTATTTGTTAATTAAAAATAAAAACGGCGGTCATCGTACTTTAATTTCTGGCAAAAGTTGATCTTTACCTCACTGCATGGCAAGTTTTGAAATATATCTTTTACGTGGCAACAATTTGGCCGCGATTGTCCTTGAGCGAGGAATGCTTAAGGAGCGCGAGGAATGTAGGGCTCTCCCGCTCGTCGCCTCGCGCAGGGGCAGATCCAAAAGAGTCACAAAGAGGGTACTACATAAATTGTAGCGGAGCGCATAGCACCCCCACCCCCACCTCCCGCCGATGAAAAATTCACTTTTTGTGTGAAAATGCTGCTAAAAGAAGGGTTCATTTTGTGACAAAAAAGTCAAAGGGGAAGGGGGGGGGGGGCACAGCCACCTCGCCTCCCACCCCTAAATCCGTCTCTGGCCTCGCTATTCATTTTCCCCATTTTCGCCAGGTCATGATAAATGGTCTAGATCCAAATTTTGTGAGTCTTTTATTACAGCCTCGATGTTGATAACACCGCGTTATTAACCCATATGGATTTATGAAAAGTTTTGCGACCATAATCTAAAATTGGAAAGACCACAAGGACAAAACCCTGAGCACACCGGATCCTTCGCCAACTTAGTCTTCCACGCAGACGCTTTTAGGGCTCGTCACTTGTGGAGGAGGAACTAACGCGTGACCAGCCCTAAGAACGTCTGCGTGTGAGGCCATCGCCGACTTGGATCAGAGAAATATTTCATGAATTAAAAGAGATGGGCTGATTCGTAAGGCAGAGAAACATACATATGGAAACACAAAAAGGCGAAAGTAAAAATGTTGGACTCATCAGACAAAGTAAAATTAGGTAACAAAACCGTACCCGACATTTCGGTTTGGAAATCAAACCATTCTACTTCCGACTGAGTCGGACTTTTTAACATTGTTAGAGATTTTAGTTTGTATCAATCCATGGTTTTGGTTTCACCCTTTGTCTCCTTACTGACTCACAGATCACTCTTTCCGTCTACTTTACGATTCCAATAATGGTAGTTTTCAATGAAAAACTGGCTTTAGGCTGGAAACCGAAAGCTATAGTTTTTATTAAATTCTTAACCCGAGAATTTAATCACAGGCTACAAAGCATTAGCACTTTAATAAAGTTTCTATCTCTCCCGATCTATCTAGAGAAACATAAGATGATTTGTAATCCTGGTTACTCCTCCATTTTTAATCAGTCTAGTACTGTTCGCGTTCATTATGGTGATTACAACACGCAGCCGTTTAATGATGTGAAACAACCACAGTTATCAGGTTTTATTTAGATTGCCAATACGCACATTGTGATTTTTTAGTAACACGATTAAGAATAGCGACTGCACAATATGTTGCCGACGAGGATAAGGTTTTGTGTATCAACAAAAACCGTAGCTCGGATGATCACATTGAAAGTATAGGAAAGAAAGGCTTGGTATTTTTTTAAACGAATCCAAGTTACCTGCAAAACAAGGGCTTTGCTTCGTGTATTGTCAGTAACTACCATCATCATTCTATGCACAAACTATTTAAATTACTATCTACCAATCGTGCGAATTCATTTAAAGACACCTCTTTTCTCTGTCGATAGTTCATCACTAGAACGGTTTCTGTCCTCGTGTGTGCTGCACAAGGACCGATATAAAAGACCGCAATATACACAGCTAAGCAAAGGCTCGTAAAGAAAGGCAGTACAATGATTATCCCTCGGTATGCTGACACCAGTACACAACCCCCAAATTTGTGTCATAATACGAACTCCTACATAATACAGACAATCAGTTCCAGTCCCTTGGTGTCCGTGGCTCGACTGTACTAATGCTGATTTTCTTACTGGGATCTAGTATCTTTTGAGAGGAACAAGCTGAACCACATCTGCTTATTTTCTTAGGGCGCTTTCTATTTGTTGGAATAACCGGTTGGGATGGCCGTTGAATAGTGATAAGGGTTTCTTCAAATCAGCAAACCAACCGAACGAGATGGCGCTAACCGTTTACAATTTGATCTCCAGTTATGGTTTGTAGACGAGAAACTGGAAATTCGAGAATTCAGTAAATCGTAATTAGGAATTTCTCGTCTTTCCGTTCCGAACGGAAAAAAGAAGTACCTCTGAAGGTAGTCTATAATTCCCGAGCGGATTTTCCGAAAATTACTGTTCCTTTTTACTTTCAATCGAAATTTCCGGGTTTTGGCCAGGGAAAACGTCGAGTCCTATCAGTAAGGAGAGTTAGGGAAGTTGGACTACATCCATAGACCCTGATAATTAACGCACAATGCAATTAAAATATTTGAGCCTTGGCAAAGCCTGAATGGCGTCCATGCAATGAAATATCTTGAAATTCGATCGCACTCCCATAGTTACGTGTTTCATAAGCGGCTTAGGATCTGAGTACAACCCACCGGAAGCTGTGGGCTTCCTTCACGTACCAGGGAAAGAGGTACACTCTTCCCTGAAATTTGAAGCCACCTGCCAAAACGAAAACACTAAAGATGCTCTTCCAGGGAAACAGCTCCTGAAAATGTAATAGCATTCTGCAGGATCCTTGCATCACACTTCGGTTTGGGACTGTTTCCTTTTAAGATCATTACCATTTTCTTCGCGCGACTTTGAATTTGTGGGGGTATTTGCCGCCGGGTTAATATCCCTTGCAAAATATCGACAGCAAGGGATCATCCGCAATAAAGAAGCACGAAACCTGTCATTCATTGCAGTATAAACAATGGGGTTGTAGATGACTGAGGCCTTGGCTAGCAAATCCGGGATTTCGGCCTCGCCAGGGGTCAACGTGTTAGTACCCCGGATGGTGGCAATGATGCTCACAAAGCAATATGGAGACCAGCTCAAGACGAAGGCGGCAATCGCCATGGCAATCATACGCAAGAGTTTGATTTGGGATTTTCTCCGGCTGGCCTGAAGTGAAGCGTTCTCGGTCGTGGGTTGCTGTGTCCGAATAAAGCTGCAACGAAATGAGACGCGTTAAACTCGTTACTCTCCATTTCTAAACTAGACTAGGAGGCCGGGTTGTTCAAAAGCCGGTTAACGCGCGCTAACCCAGGATTAAAAGTTATCCGAAGTATTAATTTTACTTTGCTAGGTTCTGTGTACTTTGAGATTATTCCGACTGGAACTGAAGGACAAACATTAGAAAAAGAAAACCTCACGGTAAAGTGAAAAAAGTGAAATCAAAATTCTCGCTAATCCTAGGTTTAAACTTAATCGGGCTTTGAACTATCCGGCCATGATAGCTATTTTTTAAATACGTTTACGGGATCAAAATAAACTGCTGTTTATTTTCCACAAGGTGCACGTTCGACTGCAAATAAACACCGTGAAATAAATTCCATTGGCTAAATACGTTCAGATTAAAGGTGGGTGAGATATGAAATGTAGCTTCCAAACGTTCAAGCCAGTTGCTCCCCCGGCGCTTATCTCTAGTTTCCCTAACGTGAATTGCCTAGGGGTATTCCTCCCGGCCTATTCCCTATGGATAGAATGCTAGTCTATCAACCTGAATGTGGTAAACAACTGTCAGAGAAAAGTTTCTTGTCCAAGGACACAACGAAATGAATCCGGCCAGGACTCGCACCAACAGCGATCAATCCGGACTTCAGGGCGCTAACTATTAGCTCACCGCACCTAATGCCCTCAGGATCCTGTTCTGTAGAAACTGATATTTTCCTTGTTCAATGCAAAAACAAAACTTAGAAAACCAAAACGCGCAGAATTGACGTCTGTCCAGCATTTGATTGCCGTCGAGCGGTTTGGGAAAGACCCCACAAAACACCAAACATGGATCAAGGATCCTGCTCATTTATATCTTAGACTTAAATTAGTTGCAACAAGAGATAATCTCTTGGTTGCAAACATTATGACCACCACTCAGTGCCCAGGAAAAAAGATCGTTAATTTCTTTCCTACCCCGCAGCCATAACTCCCTAGGCTTGTTCACTAGTCACTGTTCGGGAAAGGAGCCGCTCCCCTCCCCGAAGACTCCTCTCGGGGGGACCGTAGACTGGACTCGAGAGAGCGGCGGAAACGGGTCTAATAATTCCCGGTCAACTTTAGAAGCAGTGCTTCCTTTCTCCCTCCCCGGGTACGTAATCGCTTACCTGTAAATCCGATGGTAACAAAATGTAACGACGCTCAGCGGAAATACAAAGCCAACAAAAACCAACATGGCGTTGTAAGCCACTCCAGCCTTTGTTTCAGGTACCCAGTTTGGACAGCAGCTGACTCCAGAGGCGCCTGGGACGAACTCGTTCCAACCCACTAACGGTGGAATCATGGCCATTATTCCGTACAACCACGTGAAGACGATCATAGCCGCCATTTTGTTTCTTGGAATTTTTTTCCTGTTGCCGAGCCTCTTAAATGAGGAGTACATCACAACGCTCATCATAGTCAAATTAGCAATGGATGCGATTCCCACCGACCCGTTGATAAATCCTGACCACACACACGTGCTGCTAATTTCAAGCCCAGTTGAGGAGATGTTTGCGGCAACTACTACGGGATAACCAAACACGATGATAATAATATCAGCCACCGCGAGGTTGATCATGAGTGGAGTGATATTTTTCTTTCTGTGTTCTCGGTATCGTAAGATAATTATCGTCAGAACATTGCCGACAAAACCAACTGCCAAGATTATGGTCATGACCACAATATATGCTATGAATGCCGGATCATCATGCTGAAGTCTCGGCCTTTCATTGATGTTCGATGTCTGGGTCGTGGTCTGCGGTTCTATTGACGCATTATCCATGTTTTAACTTTATGCTTGTGATTTGAGCTTGGCTTCTAAAGTTTGACGCTCAGCTAATACTTCTTAGGCATGCGCTGTGTGAGAAGAAAAAATGCACATGTCATTGTGTTTTGGTTTTGAAAGATATCCAGCACCTGCTTTAGAGTTCGTGGTAATATTCTTTTCCCACAGTGCTATGTTTCATTCTTTCACTGGATGTCCCCATAAAATGTTTTTACTTTTCCCATCTCACGATCAACTCAACATTTTTAGACAAAGTAAGAAAAAACCACAGTGTTTCTGATTCATTATCTGCTGCCATTTTTCCGGTGTTCCCAAGTTTAAAATTTTTCACACACATCGTCAAATGCCTCTTGCATCTATATTAGGCCTCATAACGACCTTTTAGAGCGATAGCGGCACCGCTTTAAAAATTAATTATTTCCAAATGGGACTGGGATATAGTCGTTATACTTGTTAATTATGTTGTGCAGGGAACTGTCCAAATTATTAGTAAATTTGGACGTTATCCAAATTAAAATTAATTTTGAAAGTTTGCAAAAATGATAAATACTTTTTGCAAGTGCTTATTTGGGATTTTACGCCCGTAAATTTATTAATTAGTAGAATAATTCTAGTTATGATAATGCTGCAATCTAATAGGCGCAGGCTGATGAGCTATCCCGGTACACTATGCGTGCGTATACAAAACTGCAAATTTCAAAAGACAATTCAGTCCGCGCGATTTCTCGCAAATAAAAGTTTAATACTACATAGATAAATAATTGGAAATACTAATTTAACAGAAATTTCAGGAAGAATTAATTATACTAAAACAATTAGATTCAGTTCGCTTTCAATTCCTATGAGGTGATAGTTGATTCGGCCTTCGGCCTCATCAAACATCATCTCATTAGTGCAAATCATTTTATTTTAATCAGACGTTTAAAATTGGAGTCACTGGGTCCCTTTTTTTAATTAAAGTGTATAAGTAATCTTATTAAGGGTCACCAAAATGGCCATACCATGTTCACCAATGATTGGCCTATTTATGACACCATTGGTCGTATTATAAAATCAATTTAAAAAAGCTAGAGTTTAAGCTTTCATTTTTCTTAGTGAAGAAGTGCCGCAAAATGTGAGCACGTTAAGCTATTGAGAGCGCCCGCTATATCAGCAGCACTTTATTACAAAAACGTTCATTCTGTAATACGCAGTTGAAAAAGAAAAAGTTATAAAAAGTCTCACATATCAACATTACTACAACAAATGATCAACGTCGGCTTATCTCTTTTAAGTCGGTAAACATCTGCATCCTCACAATCTAAATAATGCAAAGCTCGAGTGACAATTAGCAAAAACCAAATCACAGCGGCCTGCTACTAACAATCACAAAGCCTCTCTCAAACGCAATTAACTGCAGACATCAATTCTCAAGGAAAAAACAGCGTGACGCATTAAAAAAACTTTTAAGAAATACTTTGCGAGTGATTGCTTCAATTCAGAAAGTGCTAATTTTTATTTTAAATTAATGAGATATGATTTTGGTGAAGTATCGAATTATCCAATACATCTTCCACAACAACTTGAAACAGAGAAATGTCTTTGAACTTTCTTCATTAGCTATTTTCCAAATTTCGTTTCAACATCAGATAAATCTTAGGTTAGTGTTTGCTAAGGGTAAAATTAGCTTTGTTTCTTGTTGACTAAAATATACATTCATGCAAGGTTATTATTCTAAAGAGCTTAGGGTCAGAGGCGAGAGTTTGTCTCTTGCAAATGTAAATGTGTTTTTCAGTTCACTTGACGATAGATATATTTTGTTGTCCGTGCAGGAAACGGTGCCTATGGATTTAATCTGAAAGCGTAGGAGAGTTTTAACAAGAGCGAGAGTTAAAGCTGTTTTCTGCAGTCATGGACTCTATACGATTATTGGTATGTCCCTGTATATCAACTATTCATATATATATATAAATTATATATAATTAGTAACGGTAAACTGACAACGTTATATAGATCACTGCTCAACGGAGTATTCCTGTACTTACCTGAGACTTCTTTTCTCTGACAAACGAACAATTGTCTTAATTCTCTCGCCAGCTTTCGGTGGACAACCTTTACTCCACATTGACGCGATAGCTAATTTGAGTGTTGTCTAAATTGGCCCCAACAGGTCTGCGTAATCTCTCGGTTTTTGAAAGGAAATGTTCACTCAATCAATATGCGACAATATGCGATTTCGATTTTGATAACAGGTCATAAAAAACACTCCATACGTGACAGCACTCATTTTCGCTGGAGCTAATCACTAAAACAAGCTACTGTTAATTTATTACCGAAACGTTTATCGTGGTTAAAGAAAAGTCTTTCAAAGTGTTTCTTTGATAATGAAGCGTTAAATATGTATCGAAAACAGGAAGGATATGGAAGGAAACCGACTGAAATTACATGTCTTTCAAAAACCACGTAGCGCTAATTAATTTGCAGCACGTCGCATTCTTAACGCGAATTATGTCACAAATAACTGCGTCGATAACCCCGAATGCCCTGGGTGAACATCTTGACGCATTATGAAAGAGATGTTGCGGCTTGAGAAATTAGCCTTTTCTGGCGCTTTTAGCCGGAAATCCAGCGGAAAAAGTCTTATCAAGAGATGAGAGAGGCTGATATTTGACCAGTGAGTGTGAGGCAGGAGAAACTGATGCTGATGCGACTGATATCTACCTTAAAATATTCAAGATATTTTACACGATAGCGAGAAGATCAAAAGTTAAGGGTCATGAAAATGGGCAGAGGCTCGTATTTCAAGCTTTTAAAATCAATTTTTACCGAGAAGAGCATTTGCAATTGTTACTCCAACAGGTTTTCTTGAAGTATACAAAAGCAGAAACCGACACAACGTAAATTGGTTTTTTGAAGGTGTACAATATTTCGGCTGGCCAAACCAGCCTTCTTCAGGTGCAATGAGAATTTTACATTGGGACCTACTACAGCCGCAGAACATTTCCTGTCTTCTCCAAACCACACTGCTAACGACATGCAATCAACCCCCATCGAAAAAATCTTTTCCAACCGAGACTCTATCCGTAAGGCCAGGGAAGCTTTTTTAATTCAAAAAAGGCAGAACAATTGATCCTGATGGTCTGAACATCCGTGAAGAAACATATTAATCGGTTTCCTTTTATTATGTTCTTTTATTATGTTATTTTATTTTACCGTGTGCTTATCTTTAATTTACACTGTCAATTAGTTTTACGTATTTCCGGTATTACGAAAACATGCTACATAAAACACGTCCCAATGTAAAATTTTCATTGTGCCTGAAGAAGGCTGGTTTGGCCAGCCGAAATATAGTACACCTTCAAAAAATCATTCTACGTTGTGTCGGTTTTTGCTTTTGTATTCTTCAT